TTTTAAAATTGCCCAGCTGGAGACAAGTCTTGATTAGAGCTGGAACAATAGCTCCATTTTATTAATAATGGGAAGGATTTACAATCCTACAGCACCTTCCTTGGAAGGCTTTCAAAATCATTTGCAAACATACACAAATTTAAGCTTTCACAGCCCTGCCTGTGAGGTGGGTAAGTATATACCACCAAAAATCACATCGAGCTTGGAGTCGGTGGCAAATCTCCATTTTTGAGTGCTAGAAAAATGACAAGAGTTGGTGGGTTTTAAGGCTGTGAAAGGGTGTGCTGGGGGGATGAGGGGAGAGGTTGGTAAGTGGGGCTGGCTGGAAGCTGTAACCTAAATCTGTTTAGTGTGTGCTGCAGACAGTGTTTTTCTGTGTCCTGGGAACTGGGCTGTTATTTCTCAGCCTGCTCCATGCAAATAACCCCTTTCGTCTTGCTCTGTGCTAGAGCAAAGACATGGACTTGCCTGCTTGTCACTAAACATCTGCTTATAGATTTTTATTTATTTATTTATTCATTACCTTTTTGTAGTCCCCAAGTGACCTTCTTTAGTGCTGGCTTGGCTGTGGTTTGACCACAGCTTTGCATTAAAGCTGGCTGCTAGCTTTAATGTGTCTCTGTGCAAGCTAGAATGACCTTGCTTGCAGGACAAGGACCCACCTAGCTAATGCAGATACTCTGCTTTGAATAAACCCTGCAGTCTTGGGTGGTTCCCCCCCCTCCTCCCCCCAGCATGTCCCTTCCCTGACCCAGGTAGTGCAGGGGAATGTTACAATATTATGGGTGAAAGCTGTCATCTGCCTCTTTTTTTTCCCCTCCCAGGGAAATACAAGATTGTATGTGTAACTCCCACTCCACAGCAGATACCTTCTTTGTAAGTATTGTAAAAGTGCAGTGATCTCGGAGACATCTGCGTAGTCGGATTGGGTCTTGCTGCAGCATATAAGGCACAGTGGTCTGGTTGTGTAAGTGTATGTTGTACATGGGCCACAGAAACCCGCAATGTTTCTGTGGTTACTTCTGTCTGGATAACATGAGTAGGTCCCAGGGCTTCCCCTTCCCACCATTTACTATTTCACAAAAGAACAGGCTGGTGCTTCTGGAAAAAGCTCTGCTTTGTGGCCTTAAAAAGAAAAACTGCTGTGGATTAGTCATTCTTATTTTTAAAAGAAGCTGTGTTTGCCAGTCCCATCTGTACAGTGCATGTGAGATATTAACTATTAGCTTTATTTGTGAAGCTTGGTAATGTGTTCTGGTCACTGCTCTTTGGAGTCCTGCCACCAAAGCTGCTGGCCTGGGTATAATACTGTGCAGGTGGAAGAACTGACAATCCAGCTTTTCATACTTTTCTATGCTTTTTCTTTTTTCGGTGCTGGTATCTCTGCATTGCCAGGTGTGGAAACATAGAGACCGTAACAACAGTAAGCAAGGACAGATGAACTGCCTTCCAGGGTCAGTTATAAATTGAGAGAAGAAATCCTGATTTTTTGTTTTTTCTTATTTTCCCCTTGCCTATGGTAGCTTTTACTCCAAGCCCAACTGACTGTTTCTTGCAATAAGGTTGGGTTTGACCCTTTTGGATGCTAAAAATGATAATGTTTTTAATCCTTCAGGTTGTATTCCCTTCTCTGTGGTCATGTAATGGAGCTGTACAATTAAAATGGTGTAGCAAAGGACAGCTGCCTCCCCCCTTGCCCTTTCAAAAAACCTTCCGGAGTTGTGTGCTCTTGAACTGCTGCATAGGCAGAAAACATACAATGCAGTTGTCAGCATTGCGCTGGTGTGTGGCATGTTTAAAAACACACGCGCGCGCGCACACACACACACACACACACACACACACGGTGGGGAGAACGGGTGCCTCCAGGGGCTAAAACTAGGGGGCCTCTTTCACTACAAGCGATTAGACCCACATGCAATAGTATATTACTCCTAATTTTGTGGCGGCAAATGCAATGGCCAAACATCAGAGGGAGCGTGGCAACACGCTAAATTGTGTTGGTGAAGATCAGGGTCCCATTGTACTATTTTTTCTGTTAACTTGCTCCTACAAGATGCTGCTGCTTTATTGCTTGATTCCTCCAGCCTGTTCTTTCTTGCCAGGAAACAGGAAAATGTTTCCTTATTGAGTGCAATTTCTTTTGTTGTGTTGCAAAAGGTAATAAAAAGCACCTGCCTCTGGTTTCTCCTAGGTCACACCTGACTGCCTTTAGTGCTGACTCCCAGTAATCTCTAGCATGTGGCACTGTCACAGCAGCGCAAGGAGTGTAAGTGGCAGAGCATTCTCATCAGCCTCTTTTGATGAGAATATTGGTATTGGCGCCGCATGAATGCTTCTGGCTGACCAGCTGAGGGGCCCTGCCCCGCTGAGCTGGAGCAACATCTTATAAGAAACGCAGTGATTTTATTGCCAGTGAGGCAGTCTGGTTGCTGCACTGATTTGTAGTATAGCTATGGCTTTATGCTTTTCTGGCAAAACTTAGCTAAGGGTAAGTATGAGGTGTCCAGGACAGGTTTTCACTCAGTGCTTTCAGCGGTAGAGAGCTGGGGAAAGTTGATGTGTGGTGTATGTGAAGCTTGCCAATAGCTCGGTGTGCCTAAGGTCTCATCTATGCTTGAATTAAACTAGCGTGGACAGGGAAATTAATTTTAGTCTCTTGTTAGGGATATATTTGTTTTGAGATAAGCCTCGTGCCCCTCAGGGGCCTTTGCCAGCATAGAGGTACTGTGGACCAGCAAACTGGATGTTTGGGATGTTTTCCAGGTTGGCACACCCTGTGAGACTCTGAATTATTTTTCCTTGGCAGTTTGGGGCAAATGAGTGAGAATTACCTTGTGATTGCTGAACTTTTACCACCTCGTGCTTTGGACTGAAGAGTTACTAGAACTAAATCTATGAGGTTTCCAAGCTAAACAAAACCTGAATTTCTGGTGCCAAAAAGCAAGCCAGCAATAGAAACCTCTGAAACCTCTGCTTCTCCTCCAGAAGGGGGGAAACCACAGTCTTTCAAGCTTTCCTGTTATCCTCAAGAGTTAAAAAGGCATAAACCTGCGTCATGAAACCTGCCGAGCTAGCGGTCGGATGAAACGAGAGCCAAAGCTAGCCGAGAAACTGTTCTCGTGTGCCGTATTGCTGGAGAGGTTTTTCAGGTGCGTGGTTGATCTCAGGGAACAAGTATTTTAATTTTGTCCCTTTCTCTGAAGTGAGAGTAATAATTGCCCAAATATGTATTCAAGCTGCTCCATTTAAAACACAGTCAAGTTGCTTCAGTATCAGAATGGTATTTGGTGGAACAAAAGTGCTGATGGTGGCCGGCTTGGTATTTATTTTGTGCTGGGTGTGCCGATTGATCAGATGGCGAGTGTGGGGAAGAGCAGCTTTGAACTTATGAATTTGGAGGGTGGTTTTCATGTTAAACACTTGTGCTGCAACATCTCCAGAGTAACTTCTGCCGTTCCTCCTGGGCATTGTGTGTGGGGCCTTTCTGTAGAGGTATAAACAGAAATTGGGTTTAAAAAATGGTGAATTACAGGACACACTAGTCTCTCCAGTCCTAGGTGATTTTTAGCCGTTGCAGTCATCGTGCTCAGATATCAAATCATGTGGGGCTGCGTTTTGTTTCTTTTACTTTTTATTTTTTCTTCTTCCTAAAGTGTCATATTTTGCAGTCAGGAAGACTGAAATCCTCTCTGGCTGGCTGGTGAAATGCAGTACTGTTTTTTGGGAAAAACCCACACGAGGTGAGCAGGTACTGCTGTTCAGTACGTACAGAAGTTTGTAGGCAAGGGGAGGCAGGGCAGAAGCTGGCAATGTTATTTTCCTCTTCTTTCCAACGACAGGGAAAGAAATAGGTATTAATTCTAATATTTCTACTATACAGTAAGCAAGAGTAAGCTTGTTTGCAGTCCTGTGACTACATATGGTATTTTGCTTGGGTGGCTTAGCAATCACACTGCACTCTGCTGTTGAAGAAGTATCTGTTTTTGTATAGCAAAGTTTTTTGAAAACAGAAGCGGGCTTTTATATATATACAAATGGGTTCAGTGTAAACCAGATTCCAGGGGCTCCTCGACTGTGTTTACTGTGCTGCAGAACGTAAGTGATGCGAACCCGCTGGCCACAGTGGCTGTATTCTGTGGTAGCTCCGATCCTCAGTGCTATATGAGAAGAACAACATCATCGAGTTTGGCTGGGAATAGCATTTGAAGATAAATTACAGAATATTGGGTATAGCCATTTCTAGAACGTGAAGGGAGTCTTCTCAACACGGTTATCTCATCTTGAAGATTTGGAGCGCTTAACCCTCAAAGAGGAATGAACCAAAATCAATAGCTTTATTAATACAAAACCTGTACTTTGTGTTGCTTAGGATCCAGAACCAGGCTTTGTGTTCAAAGTGTTACCAGTATATTAGCTGATATCCTCTATCTTGGCAACATGCGAGCCCCAATATCAAACTGCACCAATTCCTTCTTGGAGAATATTATCCATTGCATAAAATGTAATGGGTAAGCAATAAAATTAGCCCAGTAATTCAGGCTAGCCTAAAAATGAGATAAAAGCCTCGCTGGCAATTTGATATTCAGCTGCCATACTGTCATTTTAATAAATATAGTCAGTGAGCAGGAAAGGCACGTAAATGAATTTTATATTGGCAAGATGGTGGATGGCGCTGGGAGGCTCGAACAAAGAAAAGCTCTGAGTGTTTCTGGTGACGTTTGAGAGCTCTTGTCTGGCTAACGTACTGTTTTTCTGTGAAAAGTGGAGAAAGCTGGATGCTTACTGGACACTTACTGGTGGGGATAATTATTGCATGCTACTAATGTGACTGCTCTTCTGTCTAATCCATTTGAGTCTCTGGTGCTTGGCCGATGTTTCTGGCTATGGGGAAAGGGGTAATGCCTCCTTTCCCCATTTCCAGCTGTGCTGCTGTGAGCTCAAAACGCAGAGCAATTGCTAAGCCAGAACCAAGTATAAGAAGTTACAGCCTTGGCAAATACAGCTCTGGTTGCTGTCCTTGTTCGGTATCTAATCTTTTATTTTTTAAATGTTTGGCAAGCAGTCTCTGCGACACGTGGCAGCGAGCTCCACCACTTGGGTAAGACGCTGCAAAACGTCTACAAACTTGCCTTTTCAAGTGTTGTCTGCTCGCTCTGTAATGTGCCCTCCTATTTATTCATGTTTCCTCCTGGATGAGAGGCTGTCTCTGGCTGCTCCCTTTCTTATTTGTGTGGACCCCAAGGATGTTTTCCAATTCTCCTGCCCTTTTTCTCCAAACTGGACAGCTGCTAACTTTATTAGCTCCTTATATGGCAGCACCATTTTCTCACGCCTTTAATGGCTCGCTTTTGATCTTTCATGTTCTTGCTTTGCTTTTCTTGATGTGAGCACGGTGTTCAAGCTGAGATGGGTTTATCACCTGCTCCCCCATTTAATATGGGGCCTGGCATTTTAATCCTTTCCAAGTGATGATAAGATACGTGCAGATGTTTTAACTGAGAGGTCAGCCGAGATGCCTGGAGATAGCTGGGTTCTCAGCTACACCCAGCGTGTGTATGAGTAATTTAAATTGTGCCTTGCAGGGTGCCAGACTGTGCCCTTGTTTGTCCTGAAGGCCAAGGGGCAGCGGGTGGTGGAGAGCCAGTGAAGTCTTCTGTTCTTCGGCTGTTTGCCCCTCTGGGGAGAGCAGCAAGTGAGAACTTGTGTCTCAACCCTTGAAGCTTGCCGCTGGGCTTGTGTTGCCACTGATGCCAGGACAGTGGCTAACGTGAGTGGCCTGAACGTGCGTGCGGTCCCTTGTGCGGTGACAAGAACGCTGTTTGCCGCTGCCATACAGGACTGGTACTTTACTGAAACCCCTTTGGCCTACTGAGATGAAGGTTGTGCTCGCTCCTGTCTGTAGTGCGGGTCTGTGCTCTTTAAAATCTTCAAATGAGTTGGAGGGATCCGGTTACAGAGGCATTGCCTGAGTGCAGTCGCATGCTGCAACTGGGAACAGTTTCCCCCTGAAGTGTATTAAAAGCATTAGGATGGTCCAGAGCTTCATTTTGCATCATGGACTGGGGTTCGTGTGCTCCTTTTTCAGCTGGCATTTGTGTAAACGGAGCCTTCTAAGCACTGATTTCAATCTTTTTTTTTTTTTTTTTTTTGGTCAACAGGGTCAACAGCTTTGTTTGCAACAGCTTCCAATCTGTGGATGTCCCTCCTGACCAGCCAGCTTGCAAGATTACTATGTGACAGCAATGACCCTGTGTGAAGTTTCTTTGAAGGACCTGGGAGTCTGTGTGGTTTTCTCATGTCCCTTGGAGGTGCTTCCCTGGGAGGGAGGGAGGGAGGGGAAGAGTAGTTAGAAATGCTGTCACAGCAAGCACGCTCAACTGAAGAGGGGAAAATTCTGCATTGCCTTCAGAAAAGCCATTTGATACATGGTTTGGGTGAAGGGGGGGGGCTTCCTTCCTCTCTCTGAAATGGATGCCTGTAGAGTCCTTTAAAGGTATAGACGAATAGTTATTGCTCTTTGGGCTTTTGACCAGTTAAAACAGAAAACTAAGCCCATTTCCATGGAAAAGAAGCATATGTGGTGGAAAGTGTTGGAGGAGCTCATTGGCAGTGCGTTTTCTTGTATGCACGTGGCTTAATCACATACTTTAAATAATAGATGGTTTGCTTGCAAGGGTTTGTTTTGTTTGTTTTAATCAGTAGATCTCAAATAATTTGGCAGTGCAGCTTAATGCCAGTCATCACTGGGGAAACTGAGGCATGGGGCCATAAAGGGATCAGCTTGCAGCTACCCATAGCAGGGGTAGAGTTGGGGATAAGACTTGAGTCTGCCAAGGCTGGAGCTGATGTGCGTCAGAGATCTGATTAAATCAAGATTTGCATGTGTTAAGTGATCTATAGCTTGATGACTTTGACTAGTTGCTGAGATGGACTAATTGCCAAAAGGTTTAAACTGTCCTGGGCAGGGTCCTGTTAGACTGGGTGGCGTGAGCATGTTGCAAGGTGCCCACCAGCTATTAATGAGCCTGGGTTGAAGGCAAAGGCGGTGTAGTTGAGCTCTGCTTGTCCCAATGAGAACATGGTTTTAATCAATAGAAAAGCGCCGTCAGCAAGCAGGAGGCTTTGGCCAAGGGAAATACTGAAATATTAGTCTTCTCTTTGTGGTGAAAGCAGCTAACTGGCTTATGCGGCTTCAAAAATGTACTAGTGGCTCTGGATGCATGTTCTGTTTTATCCTAACCTCAAACTGTTTGCTTACTGCTGTTCCAAATGTCACAGTGGCAATAAGTTGGGCATTTTCTTTTTCAGACATATAAACGTGTATTTTTATCTGTGTAGAGTCACATTTTTTTTCTTTACGTGGAAAAATGGAAACTTCAGAAGGTGGCTGGATTTCACTGCCATTAAATCTTGCCCGGGGTTAGAAAGTGGCCTTTCAAGCAGCACTGGGACAGGGCGCTGGAGGGATGGGACTGTGGCCTGGTGAGCAACGTTAAGTACCTAAATTCCCTGGAAGCATAATTTCATATCCTGGTGCAGTTGCTTCAGCACTTTGTCCTTCTAAGGTAGATACTGTGCTGGGAAGTGGTGCGGCGCGCTGCTTGCTCTGTTCCACTTGTTGAGGCGGACACCTTTGTTGGGGGGGAGCCAAGCCTCCCTGATCAGTGTCGACAGGAAGGGCCTGATCCTGTTAGCGCTCAAACATGCAAATTATTTAACTTCTGCAAGCATTTCTTATGCACAGAGTAATCATTCCTACTAAGCGCTTAATGGCAAATGGCCCTGCACACCTTCTAAAAGGCTCTACCACTATCCTTTTGGGGGGAGAAGGGGATGACTTGCAACTTAAGAGTTGTGGGGGTTGGTTTTGTGGTATTCTCAGGGCGATGTGGACTCACTGTTTTGGTTGGTGGAAGTTATTTGCCAGCAAGGATCTCGTGGCAGTTTGCATAAGAGTGTGTGATTCAGTGACCTCCCTCCCCACTGCTGTAGTGCTTGGCTGGCAGCCAGCGCTGCCAACCCAGGTTGAGGTTGCATATAGCTCTGAACTTTGGAGCCATTAGAGATAAACGCGCCATAGGCTTGTAAAAGCCCATGCAACACAGGGCCCTTGTCCGCCTCAACCTAAATTAATTTTTTACTCGCTCTTGCCGATTGCATCGAGGTATCAATCTGGCTTTCTGTCACCTCCCTAAAAAGACAGCTCGCCTTTTGGAGCGTGGGGGAGAACCGGAAGGCCCCGACTTCTCGGTCGCATTTGGGGCAACTCTGGGGGTGCATAGGGGTCCAGCGGCTGCCAGGCCGC